AATGTGGCATATGCTATTACTTCTGAAGGGATTCATTGTCTACAATTTATGACCACAAGTGCTCCGTCAATAAAGATTAATGAGAGAATCAGGATTCTGTTCTATTCAGGCAAAGACCCAGGTCGCTTGGGATGGCAAGATACACCTCAGTGACCTTGTCACATATCTTTCAGATTGATTTTAGCAGGACATGCCTCTGTACTCAGAACGTGGATTCTGCTGCTTCCCTTGACAATACCAAGGCCTAGAACTCTGGCTCTCAACAGGAGCCCTCTTATGAAATTAGCTTCTCACCTATATCCAGGCATTATGCAGTGCCAAAGTGAAGTCCTGCCGAGTTTTATACGCAGTCAGACAAAAGATGTTGTGGGAGGGAGGCAAAGAGAGAAAGGAAGTGATTTGTGAGGCTGAAATTAATGTAGGACAGTTCAGTGGGGGCCTGCTGTAGTTTAATTATTTGACTATGCTTGTGCGAGCAGAGAACCTATCTTGCCCTTTGTTGGATTCTTTTCGTTTGCAAGATGGGGGGCTAGTTCTTCTATTGTGCAGTAAGAAGACTCCAGTTATATACTCTGTGGTGGACAGATTTAAAGGAGACCATCCCCTGCTGGAATACGAGCCAGTGTGTGCTCTATGGATCTGTTCAGGGAAGGAAATTCTCAGTTTCGGAAAAGGTCCTCTGCTGTTTTGGCATGACTGTATGAGAAAGCAGAAGACAAAGGGTGAGGGGAGAAATATTACCCAGTACTGTAAAGGCCATAATATTGGTCATCAAGGCTCTTACAAAAGCCATCTAGCTAGACTGTGTGGAATCAAGGGATCCACTCCAATTCTTCAGAAGAAATTCCAGGGCTTGCGTATCAGAGTCTATCACATTCTCCATGACACAGCCCAACTTCATAAGTGCCCGGATGATTCTAAGTATTTGGTGTTTATCAAGCCCTACGTAAACCTATGTGCCTGGCCCCACCAAAATAATGTATATTTTAGGAGAATGTTTGCAAAAACGCTGCAAGCTTCAGAGACTGGGTTATTTCCCACCCCCTACCACCACCTCATGCTTTTGAGGGAGTGCAATTGACACTCATCTCAGAAACCCTTAGGCCTAAATATTGATGCCACCGGCATTAATCATAGCCGGAGTGCCTTGGGTTGGCCTCATGTGATCCGAAAGAGGTGAAATCCCTTGCAAAATTCATAGATTACCTGGACCTTTCTGTCAGATACCCTAAATTAAAAACTCTTATCTAGGTGTCTCCGGAATTCAACCATCACTACCATGTTCTTCATCTTCCTAATTAAAATGTGACTGCTGCACTTTAACGTTTAAGTTGCGAATCTTAAGCTATCCACAAACGACCTCTCCGATTTTGCCTTTTCCAGCTTATTGGAGGGAGAAAACCTGAAAAGGGCATGTCACTACAGATTTCAAGGGGGAAAGAAGAAAATCTCCAGAAGTTTCTCAGGAGTTGGGCTCACCGAGTAGACATGGTCTAGAGGGGCGGGGTAAAAATCAAATAAATAAATAAATAAATATCAGTTTTCATAACAGCACAGCTTCTTTCTCTCCACCCCCCAAGTTATTTCATTGTCATTCTTGCCGCTGCTTCTACTGAAACTGTATCTCCAACATTTTGCATCCTCCAGGGTTCACTAGGGAGGGAGGTGGGTCGTTTCCACACAGAGAAGGTTGATAAAATGCCCCTCTTTTGTAGCTTGAATGGGACAAAGACGAAAGAATGTCTCAGAAAGGTGCTCATGCAAATGTCCTCGGAAACTTTTGATCCACTCCAAGAGAAACAAAGCATTTTCACCTGTCCGTATCACTTGGGGAAACATGGCCCATTTGAAGCAGTGCCCTGGTTGGTCAAAAATCAGCAAAATATTCCTGACTCTTCCTTGCCCAGAATAACCGGAAAAGCTGTGACTTCGCTCAATTGACCTTGACAGCACATTTGCTAGCATGGATTTTGCAAGGCTGTATGACAGTTGTGATTTATGTGATGGGAAAGATGTCGTCAAGAGTTAAACAATAAACATGATACATCATCTTAGGCCCCAGTGTGGACATGGATAATGACTACTGTCCCACTGGTTACTTTCTCCCTTGTTCTGCCCTTGTTATATTCACCACCAATCATGAACATCTAGTATATACAGTTTGCACATCATATAAGAATAGCACCAGACATATCTCTAGTGACTGCTATGCATTTCCCTTATATTTGTTACTCTCTGAAGCCAGAATCTGATTATCTCTGAAAATTAATATCAGACATATGTGACTTGGCTTTCGGCAACAGCCTGTTGTACGTGGTAGCTCTCACTATGTTGTATCACCTTATGCTGTACTTTTT